GAGGTGGGAGGGGTCGGGAGAGATTTAAATAACTTATGGGTACAGAGGATGGCCTTTGCGCAGAGCTCAGCAAAGCAGAGAGGGATGTCACTGCTGCTCGGTGGGACCTGCATGTCCCACAGCCCACCAGGGGCTTGTGTCTGAGTGAGCGTGCAGCCAGGGAAACCTGTAGCTAGTTATGCACTTTTTTCTCAGTTTTTTAAAAATTCTTTTGCTCAAGGCTGCCTCTCAAGTGAATGCAAACAGCATCGTGACCACAAGACTGATTTTGTTTGATTCGCTTCCAGCACTGTATCTGTCCCCCTGGGGACAGCTGGAGCCCAAGGCTATTAGACACCTAATTAAGGCCACTCAATCTCCATCTGCCCTCCAGTGGGATAATTCACCAGGATCAATGCTACCTTGGGAGCTGAGGTGTCCCTAGGGTGGTGGATCAACGGTGTAGGTGGCAGGTCTCACCATGCTGCTGTCTTGTACCTCTCTGCTTCAGTTTCTGTCTCTGGGTGAGGATGGTATTTGCTGACTTTATCTCAGCTCTTTATAGGGGTGCAAATGCTGCTGTGAAGAGTTTTAACCCTATGTGAAAACAGGGATATAATTGAGGCAGGGAGCAGAAAGCTGTTGTGAACTTCTCTCACTGCAAGACCCGAGATGGATTATCTTGTCTGACTGTGCCTCAGTTTCCATTTTATTGATTGGGTGCATGGTGGGATTTTTGTAGCCTGCAAATAAATAGTTGGGAATTGTGGTGTTCAGGGAGATGCCAGTACCCAAAGGCTGAGCTCTCGGGCAGTCCTGGACTGACACTCACCTCCTTGGCTGATCAGAAGGGCAGGAGCCAACTCCAAACCTCGTTCACACCTTTACACCTTACAGCTAATGAAGTAGGGAATCGGGGTCCTGATCCTCTGAGTTATTCCCAGTACTTGAAAATAGGGCACAAACATCAAGCAAATACTTTTCAGTAGAAAAAAATATTTTATTTTGTTTTACCGTGTTTTTTGTCCCTTGAAACGCTTGAACCAGCTTCTCACTGATGTAAATCATTACCATTGTGCTCAAGTCAAAGGAGACACTGATTTACACAAGCTAAAAATCCAAACTTTATTCTTTAAGCACCTTCCGTGAACCCATTTGCTTCCTCCAAGCACACAACTTGCCAAGTTCTTTATAAACATAGCTTTGAACTTTACTTCCTGCTGTAATATACATATAATATAAACACAATAAAACTTCATTTGTTTTATGCCTGCAAAATATGCTGCCTTTGATTTCACCCCCCTTTTATTAATTGCAATTTCCTATTCAAATCTGCGAATCATTCAGTGCTGCCTAGAAGGAGAACAGAAATTTCTGCAAGGAATAACGTCTGATTTTACGGCTCAGGAGACAGGTCTGAAACTCAGAGAAATCAGCAAAGTTCACTCTAAATCCACAAATTGAAACATGCTGGGGTCAATGCTCCTTGAAAAGAAGATTGTAAATGGTTAGGTAGAATGGCTTATTTATTTGCTTGTTAGACAAACTTACATGAAATAATTTGGGGCCAACTGGAAATGATATTGATACATATTTTAAATGAAAATGAAAAACTGGCGAGAAACAAAAATCCCTTTCATTGGAAGTGAAACATATTGTTTCAGTTTAAGAAAAGGGTGAATAGGAGTTTATTAAAAAATGAGTACTCAGATACATTTCAAAATGAACTGTCACATTAAAATGAGTAAGTGATCTATTATCTTCTGAAAATAGAGCAATGTTTTGACTTTTTTATTTTTCATTTGACATAAATTTGCAATAAGTTGCTACTGAGTGACTTACACTGTTGGCTGATTGTTGTCTGATTATACTTTTAAGGGATAAGTAAATTTGTCAACTGAAAAAAGACTCCCGGCTCTCCTTAGCATGGACTTAGCAATCAGAAATTTCTTTATCAGCCCTGTCATTGGTGTCTGTGTCAGTCTGCATGCATCTTTGCATCCTTCTGCCAAATAGTTTCCATCTCAGTTAAAAAGGAGTAATATTTTTTCCCTCAGTGTTCAGAAGCTGAAATAACCAATAATGTTAAATAACGGAACCTATATATGTGCTGAAAGTTGTCAGCCATTTCTCCATGCTTGAATAATCTACAAAGATTCTTCTTTAAATCAGCTCAGACTCCTCACTGGCTCCACAGATTATTTATCAGCTGAGTAATTTAGCTTGCTTGGGTTTGTGATACATGTCCCCAAGCACAGGATGCCATCACCAGGAGTTTTAACACAATTAACAGTCTGCATGGCTAATGAGACTCTCCAAGCAGCTGGTTGTTCAACAAGAGATGAAATCCTAATTACCCACAGAACTCTTATGTGGGTTGTATCTTTTGCCGGGTGTGCAGTAAAACTCTGCTGAGCTGTTTTGTCTGGGAATCCTGGTTTATTGCCAGGGTGCCGCTTCCCTTAGCAAAGACCTGTCAAGAGAACATAACTGGAGGCTTCTCAGAGATGTGGGCCAGGAGTTTAAGGGTGTTTTGTAGGATAGGATTCATCTCCCTTTGTTTGTCTCGGACATCTATGTCTTCATCTCAGCTAGTCATAGCATCACGGAGATGCTAGTTGAAAGAGACCGGGACTTCTCCAATTCCCTCTCTGAGCAACATTTACATCGATACCAGAGCAATCAGTCATATTCACCCAAAGCTCTCTTAAGATTTCTAAGCCTGAAAGGGTGACTCACCTGGTCTATTTTGACATCCTTCTTAGGAAGAGATGAATCGTGGTGTCAGTTTGCCTCTTCCTCTCTCTCTCGACTACAAAAGTAGCCAGGGACAGCTAACCAGATGACGGTGTCTGCACTGCAGGTAGGATGTATCTAGTCCAGATAGTTTTGAGTCTAATGGAAGTAAGATACCCAGGTGAGGGAAAACTCAATCCTATGTTGCTACAAGCCTTCATTAGACACTGGAAAATCAACACAGAAATTCTTTCTTAAGACATACAACCATAGGGGTTTTTCTGACTCTTCCGCTAATGGAAAATCCTGCTAAAAGTTAGGTACTGGATTTGTCTTTGCATTAAGGCATCTATACAAGAAGTCAAGGAACCAGAACCCCCTATAAAACACCCATAGATAGCTATCTGCTTTCTCAAACCTGACCTTGTAGGAAGTAAGAATAGGAGGAGGGATAGAGCCACTCTTCATTGGCTGGGGAGCATGTAGAGACAGTGTGGGATCCCAAATGGGACCGTCTTAGGAGTGGAGGCAAAGACATTCTCCATCATCACCCCAGAAGTATCCAAGAGGAAACAACCACCCCTCTAGGTTCAAGAATCATAGAATCATAGAATGGTTTGGGTTGGAAGGGACCTTAAAGATCATCTAGTTCCAACTAGTTCCAATCCCCCTGCCATGGGGGGCAGGAAGAATGCACTACCCAGTACCCAGGATAGCAATTTACACTCCTCAATGGCCCCTGTTTTTTAAGAAGCATAGTCTAGTCTGGGTGGTGGGGTCCCATGTATTTTATTTTTTGGATTTGGTTAAAAAACAAGGCTGGCGTGAGAAAGGCACAACAGCACCCATAGCTAGTACCACAGAAGTGTGAAGGTCACAACCAACTGCTCCCTTTACCCTGTCCCTCCACAAGAAGCAGGTTACCCAAACCAAGGAATGACTTGAGAGATCCCTCAGCACAAACAAAACCCTTGATATTCATGGTGTTATATTTGCCTTGGAGTGGTGACTTGCCTGTCTTTGCAGTGGAAGTTGGTACTCATTGCCAGGTATGATTGAAGAAAGTAATGTACTAGCTTTTTTACCTGCATCCTGGAGGAAAGGCAGGTGCTACACAAACCAGGCTCAGGAAGTTCTTCTTTGAGCCAAAATAAAAATATTTTTGTGGGTGCTGTCTTTCACAGGGCAGAAGTCCTTTCACAAATCATTTTGCAGAAGATGGGCTCACAGAGGTATAGCAGTGCT